GTAAAATGTTGATATGAATTGATCGCAAAAAGTTCATATTTAACCTTATTGCAAATACATGCTATATGTTACACGAACATTTTTTATATTTTCTTCATTTTTTGAATTTAACGAAATCCAATAATTATTAATACAGTCCAGTTCGCCTAAAATTAGGCAATTTTTATAAAGTTTTCAAGTAATGTTACCTTTAAACGCATTGCTACTTTTAGCTATTATCAAAATCGTAGAGAAAAATTTTATGCAAAAACAAATAAGCAAAATATGCAAATATGTATACCATTTCAGAGAAGTCTTAAGTAACAGAATAGAATATGAAATTATTTATCAAAACTGGTTAAAATTTTTGTTATTATTATAATTAAATGTTTGAGTAAGAGGATTTTTTTTGCGTGTTAGATTGTTTTATACCAATCAATCAATTACAAAACTTTATGAAGTAACGCTGTAAAAGCAAAGTTATATAAGAAATTATTTCTAAGCAAATTATGCGTTCTAGTTACACCGTACTAAAATACTAGTGCAATAATTTACTATATTTTTGCATTAATTTACTATAAATTTAAAAACCAGAATATCCAAACCAGAACTAAATCAAATGTTTCACTAAAGATAACATAGAACTTTATGTACACTTGCAAAGAGGGCAAATTTTTTCAACTAAATATAAGTTTCCTGAATATATTAAGCAAATTTATTCCATTAAACCAATACCAATGTTTAAAACTAAATGTAAATTATTTAATTAATTATATGAAGTAAAAATGAATTGAGGCAATTTTATACAAGCTGTACTTAACATAATCAAAAAAGATAAAGCAAAAATCAAAAAGCTGGAATTCAATAAATTTCCAATTTGCAAATTGCAAATTTTATTGAAAATTGCAAATTTTTCTTTAATTCTTAAATATTAATTGACGATCAATTTTTAAAACAATTTCTAATTCCTACACAAAATACAATACGTTTAAAGCAATGTGGAGTATGTAGTTTGGCTTTAAGATGGTTCTGCAATCATAAAATTTACAGTAAATTTATTTTTTATTTGCCTTGTTTTTCAATGAATTTCGATTAATATTATGGTACAGAAGAAGTGATAAAAATATTTATATTATAGTTACATATTAAGAAATAAATTTAAATACAGTGATTTTAAAAGTAAAAAACATATTACCACTAAATTACAATAATATGCATATTACACACACTTGTATGTACCTAATGTGTAGTTAATATAAATTAAAAGTTTACTGTAAGTATAATAATATGTAATGTGTTATATAACACTATAGCCTTAATTGTTAAGATATTGCTAAAACTGTAGAGCTGTTTCATTAATTCTATATTTTTTGATTTTTCTTTTTCGGTTTATTTGTAATTTTATTACCATATTACCATATTAGTTCTGTTCAGTTTTTAATATGTTCGTATGTAGGTTGAAATGAAAAAGTTCTAAACTCAATAATACAATAAACGAGTATAATCATATGTATATGTTTGATATAATATAGGTAAATATGTATATATACAAATATAAATGTATGTATGTAAATATATTATATTGTTATTGTTATTAATTTTTGTGGTTTTGCCTCTGTGAATTGTCATTTGAAGCAATTACAGACATATTAAATATATACATATATGTATGTCAGTGTGTATTTATATAAAACTCATATAAGAGTTATACAATGCCGTTAATGTTATTATTTTTGTTTATGTACTATACCTACATTACTATTGTAGTCATAGATAAAGTTTTGTCGTATACGACAATGAATATCACCAATGGGAGATTTTTATATATTTGTATTAACAATTAATGTCAAAAAATATATGGTAAATATTTTCAAAACTGCTTCTTTTTATTTGATTTTTTCATTATTTCTTTTCTTTTTTCTGGTTTTGCTTTTCAAGTTTTTTTTTTCTTTTCCGCTTTTGGCGAACAAGAGAATAAAAACTTTAAGATTTTTTCTGTATATAGCGTCCATAGATATGAAATTAAATGTATGTATTTTGTAATAATAAATTTGCAAACATATGCGTACATACTTACATATTTCTTCATGGAAAACTTTTTATTTTTAATAACTTTAGCCACCAACAAAAAAAAAGTATAATAATATATTCGTTAAAATAGTTTTAATACCATACTACATACATACGTACATAATTTATTATATACATGTAGGCATATGAATTTAGAATTTCTTAGAGGAGACATGGACAAATAAAATATACAAAGTACATGCACATAAATTTGATACGGCATATTGACTTGGACTTAAGATAATATTAACCGTTTATAATTGTTTAACGTCTCGCAGATGTTCATACATAATATGTCAATTGCTTTTTATTTTAAATACCTCTTCTCATTTACTTGATATTTCGATATTTTCATAGTCTTGTAAATTAGTTTAAGATGTACAGAGAAACACTTCGATAGGATAGAGAAAGCCAAAATGAAAAATTTCCATACGCAATTAGATGTTCAGTGTGTAACGAAAATTACGAAAACTTCATTTCATTTCAATCGGTTAATTCAATATATTTGCATGTGTACATACTTACCTACTAACATTATATCAATACCAGTATTAAAGTAACTCTAATATATGATTGGGGTTGCCATGCAAGTTTCTGTCACACACAAGAGTGCAGTTTGCAACAGTGAAGGAAAATTACGGTACATTTTCGTTTCAGTGAATGCATTTTCATCACCCAATCCCTAAATCTGCTTAAAAAATTAACACTTCATTTTTAAAATTGGAAAAATATATTCTAGCAAACATTTCATAAGAATACAGTTTTTAACAAGTAAAGTTTTATATATTTTTGAATGCGAAATTATCCTATAGATAGATGAAACAATAACTTGATAATTTTCTTTTTTCTAAGGGGGAATTTCAAAAAAAGAGGGGGAATACCACAAAAAGAGTACTTTTACTCTTAAAAGAGTACATATGGTAACCCTATTTATAATATAATTATAATACAACAATATGCATATACATAAGTATGTTCATGATTAACTATTCTTTTAATACCAAAAATAACCAAATAAATTCATTCAAACTAGACATTATATAACATATGTACATATATATGTATTTAATTTATTCTACCGCATGTGTTACACGTAAGTATAATAACAACAATATATCATTCATCATCAACATACATACATTTGCATGCGGTAAGCATAACATGTGTAGGTACATACATTGATATATAAAGTACCACACTCTAAAATGAATAAGTAAGTAAAATAATATAAGTACATACAGACTATAATGGAACCTACCAAGTTTCATAGCCGAATTCAAGTCAAGTCTTACGAAAAGCCATTAACTTTTCTAGATCTCTCTCTTCTTCTTGTATCAGTTAAGATTAAGAATGAATATTAGTTGTATTAATCGATTATTAAACAATAATGATCTTTTAAAAAACTAAAAATTAAATGATGGCACTATTCCGTATTGTCAAAAATAAAGTTTTAAAATCGCCTTCAAACTATATTTAAACCTAAAATTAATACAATTACAGCAATAATAAAGTAAAGTAATTATAATAATTAAAAATAATTGCAAAATTTTTTTAAGATGCGATACGAAACGTGGCACATCATCAAAATTTGCGTTTTCTTTACTATTTTGGAAGTTGAAAATCATAGAATTATAATATATCATTACGGTGGGGGTGCTAAAATTTTAGTTTTTAAATTTTTGTTTTTTTTTTGTGTCTCTCTTTTAAATAATTTTCTTTTTAGTTTCTTATTTATTAAGACTTTACTTTAGGCATTTAAAGAACAAAAGTTGACACAAAAAATATATACAATGTATATGAGTATACACCCGTGATACATACAGTATCGACATGCATAGAACTAACTGCATTGATATTTACTACATTATGAATTTTTTATATAAAAACATATGCAGCTATTATAGGTACATATTATATAAGTATATATGTATGTATACGCTTTCATATAGATATAAACATTCAAAGAAATGGTAAAACGAAAAACTTTTGACCAGTTTTATTCACACTGTAGGTATTTAGTTATCGTACATGTGCGGTATCGTTATTTGGACGAAATGAAATCAGTGTTACCGTTAAGGTTTTTCGTTATTCAAAGTAAAATTTGATTTTCATTTTAATAATTATATTGAACAAGAATAGGTTGTGATTGTCAATATATGAGTTTTTGGACTTTAATCAAATAAAGATATTTTACTGAAAATTTAAGTTAACACTTATGTAAAACAATATACAAATAATAATTATTACGTAACACTTATAGCTCTAGTCTAGATTATAATTTTAAGATAGAAAACCCAATTATATAAATTCATTTTTGACGAAATACACATAAGTATGCAAATTTGTGTAAGCTGCACTGCAAACAAAACACTTTTTCGAAACTTGAGTCACAATAAAAATCTAGCAATCAATTTGAAAGAGCGAAAATTACGTCAACTCAAAAAATTATAATACCAACATATGCATGTGTAGACATATATTCTGTAAAAATATTTGTATGTATATTTGTATTAATGTCTAATTAATAATCATATGTGGAATGGAAGACAAAATACAATAACGCCATATTACTTTAAATATTCATTTCATATAAATGTCGTTTATTATATAGGCAGGTTTACACACATTAAGTTGAAGTAGAAAAATGAGTAATAATGATAAAAATATAAAAATATGAAAAAGTTAAAAAAAAAAGTAGCAAACAATAATAAATAAAAGAATAAAGTTAAAAAAAAAAAGAGAAAGAAAGATAAAATAAAAAATGTTGAGTTTTGCTTTTTCTTTTTAGTTTTTTTGTTTTACTCATTCAATTCACTTTAAAGCTTTTGGAGGAATAAAAAAAATTTAACAAATAATTTTTTTTTTTTCCATATTGAATTTTTTTCTTCTTAAAATTGCACTTTCAGTTGATTTCAGTTTCTTGACTTGTTCAAAGTTATGAAGTACTGGTGTTTTATCTTTTGATTTTAAATAAAACAAAAAAATTTCGTTATTTCGGTTATTTTATTTTGATTAACGTTAAATTTTTTATATTTTTTTTTTTGAAAAATTTTCGCGTTTTTAACGTTTGTTTTAGATTTGTTTCTTTTCAATTCGTAAATATTTTTGATTTTATCCGTTCAATTATTATAAATTATATACCTGTAGCTAAGATTAAGTGTTATGCTTATAATATGTAAGTACGTGAGCTTGTGTTTATAGTAGATATAAAATTAGTAAATAAGTTTTTTTTTTTTCAAGTATTTGAAAAGATTAAAATCATTCCAAGTTGCAATTTTGGTTTTTTAATAATTTTAAAAATAAGGAATTATTGAAGATTATTTTTTGAAAAGATTTTACCGGTATAACTGCTTACGCTGTTCAATGTGTTGTTGTTTCGACTGCGTTTTCTAGACCATTGTTTTTTTTTTTTATTGAAACTATTCAAGTGATTTTGATTAAATTTTACTTTTATGAAAATTCTAGAATAAAATTGTGAAATCATTATGATATTGCAAATAATTATTGTTTTTAAATAATTTTTAAACTTTGAAATGAAAAATTCTACTTTTGTGTAATAAAAACAGAATTAAATTGACTTACTTAGGTTATTGGTTCTTTAAATTTACAAAACAGTAATTGTAAAAAATTTATTATAATTTTTGTTTAATGTGTAATTAGTGATTACCTGCAAGCATTATATACGTAACACAGGTGAATGAATCATACAAAAAATGTTTTCTTAGCCTTATTCAACAAGTATTCAGACTTATGTATGTGTAAATAAATATTTAATTTAGTTAAAATATGATTATACCCATTTACATACTTATGTACTTACCTTTAAAGATTTTTGTCAAAGACAATATAAATTCTGTTTAAGTAGTTTTTAATGAATTTTTAATATTATTACTAATTTTTGACATAAGCATTAAAAAATACAATATTTTTGTAGTTTCATTGTTTAGAATATTTTTAATTAAAATATTTCAAGTGGAAATTAAAAACATAAAACAAATGCATAACAATAAAAAAGTTAAAAAAACTACTCAAATATTTTTATTTTTTTTTAAATTAGTATAGAAATTTAAAGTACTTTTTCAGTATTACAAATCATAAGTACCTGTAGATTTTCAAATTATACAGCGTTTGTGTTTTGACAATGTGCCTTAGCAAGAATTAATGATTTTTATAATTATTATACTATAGTTTTACATATACTCAGATTCCTGAAAACAATTCAAACGTCTTGCGAATGAATTACAAAATTTTAGGAGAATTGCTTAAAAAGAAATAAATTAATGTGAAAAATTTGTTGAAAAATAATTCTAGTAGCTAAACAAAATTTTAAAATACAAGCACTTTTTGTTAAACAAAAAAAACATAAAATTGTATTTCATAAAGTGGCAGTTCAATACCTTATACGGGAATAAGAAAAGAAAAAAGTTTGAATTAAATGGTAGTTTTTTGAAGATTTAAAAATTTTTTTCGAATAATAACTAAAAATTCAAAATCTCAAATTTTTGTTTACAAATTGCAAGCTTTATTACCTTCTACGAGTATACTAAGACTGTTTTTGATTTGATTAAATATTTTTCTTTTTAAGTTTACCGAAATTTCCAAAATGATAAATGCTATGGACCATGTATTTATGGTATTCTAGTATCGCTTAAACACTGCTTTGACGTAATTGAACAAGGACTAGGGCATCCAATATTAAAAAAAGTGTAAAATGTTCAATTTACTGAAAATGCTGATCACAAAATAAATTTGAAATTTCATTAAAAATTCCTAACATATTTGGTTTTTTTTGATTATTTTTTATATTACCACAATTAGATTCGAAAGACCATATGCGACACATTTGTTTTTCTATATAATTTTTTACAATTTCCATAGCAATTTTCATAATGATATTATAAATATATTTTCAACTTTAATTTTTAAATAAATTGGTATATATACATATTCTCATATGTACATATTTTATACGTATACATATTAAAATATTTTGAGCATGTACACATTATAATAGTATATTTTTTGATAAAAGACGAAACAAAAACATAAATAACTTTTTAAATTGGTACTCAAAAAAATATAATATGTATGACCTACATAATAATACATTTTGAACACTCCCGTATGAATGATTTTTATTATGGTCTGTAAGTTAATGACAAAAAAAACGAAAAGAAATAAAAAGACCAACTATTGTGAACTTGTTTCGCAATAACAGTTAAAATTTAAGATACTAAAATTTTAAAGTTAATAGTTATAAATAAATGAATTAGTTTTATGTATTGTGTAGTACATTTGTTTCTACACATTCACACATAACATATTTTGGTTAGAATATCATAAAATGAGTTCATTAACTTTATGATTAAATTTTACATAAAAAAATATGTAAGTATATAAAATCTTTGTATACAAGTGGTACCTACATAAATATGTATAATATTGTTAAAACAATTAACTCTCCCATAATATTAATTATAGGATTAGTTAATTCACAATTAGTATCATCTACATTTATAGATGTAAGTAAATAGAACGGAATATAGATTAATAATTAATTTTAATTGAAATTTATATTTGAAAGTATGTATTTCTTTTGATAGAAATTATTTCGATTATTAAAGGCGATCCCCACTTTTTAAATTATGTATGGATGTAAGCGATAATAATAATGAAACTCAAATAATAAATATTTATTTATTTATTCATACACCAATATTATATGTATGTATGTGAAGATGAACTTCATATTAATACTTAAATTTGACTCATACTTTTAATTTGACTCACACTTTTATTTTAAGACTCATTCATAGTATATTTAATAAACATATTATGGAAATCCAGTAATTCTTGAAAAAAAAATTTTATTTTATTTTATTATCATATAAACCACATTACCATATCGCTACGCCAATTTTAAATTTGAATTTTAACAAGTCATGTTCAGATTTCCATCTCTGATACTATTATTATACATATATATATAATATAAATTATACATAATATATATATAAATTACTTTATTACATAAATGTTAATATATAATAATAATGTTAAGTGTTTAAATAACATATGAATGATGAATTCCTGTTCTGTTATCAATCATGTTTGACTGATTCATTAAACATTAAACAATTTGAATAATTTAATCTTAAAAATTCAAGTATGTAAATATATTATATGTAATAGGAATTTAGGTAGAGTTTTTAATCTAAAAATATAAATTTTTAATTAAATGAAGGGGAAAAATATTGAAATTTTATTCTTTTTAAAAATTTCGGTATGCATATATGTATAATATATGTATATGTATATGCAGAATCAAAAATTAAATAAAGGAAATTAATTTATTTATAAATAAATATTATTGATTGAGTGCTAAATTTATAATATACATATATACAAACATAATATATAAATATAAATGTACATATACAGTCAAACCTACCGACCTGACCCTAAGACACGAACACTTCTCCCAAAATCAAAATTTTTTCGTCGTTTTAATGACAATTATTGTTTCTTTAACACAAAATGGCTTTTAAACATTTTTTAGAATAATTTTGAAAAAAGTGCCTTTTTTTATTTTTCATCTCGTTTTTTGAATTTTGGACACCTTACATTTCCGAATCTGCAAGTTTTCTATGAATGCAGAAAGCAAACGTTTAATGCCATGTCGTTAATAATGCCATAAATATAATTATATATGTATATTATTTCACGCAATTAACCCTTGAATTCACTATTATGTTAACGCCTCCATAAATTTTTTTCTAGTCTCATCCCAAATGCATGCAATTATTTAAAATATTTTGGTATATGAGCAAAACTAATTTTAATAATGTAGTACACAGATTGGTTTCATCACAGTTGGTTTAATCACTTTACTTTTCATTGCAATTAATTCAAGTTCTCTCTAAAATGAACTGATTTTGTTACAAAATTGTGGTTCATGTTATTAAGATTCAACTGTGCATACTTGCGTTTTTATACATGTATTATTGTTTTATTTATTTGTATATATATTTTATATAAATATGTTAATAATAATCAATTTTATTAGCATTTTCGATAAATTTAAATTTTGACAGATATTGACTTCATATGCCGAACAAAAAAATTAAAATAATTTCCTCCTACATTTTGTTAGTTTCCTGTAATCAGAAAATATGTCATGTCATTGAAAAATAATACATACATACATACTTATATAAATTTAAGTACATTTTTTTTAGTACAAATACATAATACATATGCATACTTCGTAAAATATATTGTTAACTTTTGCATTCATATGATGAATTGATTTCAATGTTAAAAAGCTAGAGCATTCATATTCGGACTCTTAGTTAAATTTTGATTTTCAATTGCTATTCCGAATATATGCATAATCAATCATAATTGCCGATAATTATATCAGTATAGCTATAATTAGTTAATTGTGATTATATACTAATATAAATCGCAAAAATTAATTGCAGCAACCTTACGGTATGCTTTTTGTTTTCTGAAATTTAAAATTCCGTACATATTACTTTAAATTAACAAATTCTACATCATATAGCAACTGTTAAAGTCAATGCTCATTACTAAGAGCACATCTGTTTTCATTTCAAAAAAAATTTAATTCAAAAATATAATTTTTAAATCTACTTATTCTATCATGAACTGAGTATTTGATTCATCGTTAATAAAACATTTTCAAGAATTGCTTCTTGTATCTTGTGAAAACATGTTGCACATACATCGATTACAATTTTTTAATATATGAGATAGAATAACATAGCATAATACGCAAGTAAACACACACGTTCATAACATAAATTATATTATAAATTTTTTCAGTGTACATATATAAATTCTTACATACAATTTATTTATATTTTAATTTGAAAAAAAAAATTATTTTTGGAACGGGTCCTTCATCAATAAATTATTTAGTATGGCCAATATCATCGAAAAAAAAGCAACAATATGAAAAGAAACATTGCTAAAAAAATGATTACTTACTCCATAAATATTCTTAATACAAAAATATATACATATATACACACATATCTAAAAACAATGTGTATTGAAATGCTCATGTAAAGAATACTGTGTGAGTTAAACATATCTAAAATAAGTTTTCAGACAAAAAATTTGTGATTTGTATTATTACTTAACTCACTGAAGT